ACGACTTTGGTTTCTGTTTATGGATCCCTAGACACACTTCTCTTGGCTGTGAAGCCAACATGGAAAAATGTTTTCATTTTCAATCAGTAGTGTGTTCACTTTAGAAGTTTGTGTCTCCTGCTCTGTTAAGAACTTTAATCACACACAAAATGCTCCTGAAGGCTCTAGCAGGCTATCGACAGAGCAGGAGATAAGAAATTCAAACATAAGTGGTTACTTCATATGTCCCTGTATACCATAACCTGCCTCCCCAACTCCCATATACCTTAACCAGCCTCCCCCTTTCCAATTCACTCCTCTTAAATAGAACATATGACAACAGGTGGGAGGGTAAAGGCCCAGGTTGGCCACATACAGGTATCATTAACACAATATCCAAGAAAACAGTCCAAGCAGAACTGCTGTAATAAAGAGATACATCAGTAAGTTTAATTACTAAAGTGGCAGCACTGAGGGACTAACTAATATTCTTCAGGCCCAAGAGCACCGAATTGCATCCACCCCAGCAGAGGCATAAAATACAGGAAGGGATATATTTGGCCAAACCATATCCACCAGCTGCAAGTGAGTTCCACAATCAGACCACAGACCGCTTCTTTTTCCAAGAGACACGTCAGTGCTGTACTCTTGCACATGCACAAGAGTGCAGCACTGAGGTCTTGGAAAATCCTGCAAGATGTACACCTCAGAATAACAAAAAAAAAATACAGTAATAGTGCAATACAATATAATAAAATAAAAATGAAGATAATGGTACTATATGAGATCCACTCACATTTAATTGAGCTATCTTAGAGCTCTGCTGTGTTGCACATGGATGGTATAATACCCGTCAAAGGATATGTGGTGATGTTGGCAATGAAGGTGCTCCAAATGCAATGCAACGTGCGTGATATATATGGAGACAAACATAGGAAGGAAAAAACTCCAATGGTGAAGTAGGTACTTGTAAGTAGAAAGGAAAAAAGGTAATGCACTTACATTTACTAGAGCAGGACTTGCTCTAGTTTCAACAGCATGGGTGCTATAATCCCCACCTATGGATATGTTGGTACCAGGAAGCAGAAGAAAAATAAAAGGTAAGTAGCTATAAAAAGCAAACTTTTATTTTACCCAAAATAATAAAAAACATAAAAAGGTTTTTAAAATAGAATGAGTCCCACATGACACGTTTCGCCTTTCCAAGGCTTTTTCAAAAGTGTGAGTTAGTCCTTACAGTGTTCCGTTTATATATGAAAATCTTTATTGTAGATGGCTTCCTGGTGAGTCTAATTTCCGGTTTCGTTCAGGCGCATGTGGCATACCGGAAGTGACGCTTTGATGTTGATGGTGTTGATGGGCTAATTTCTGGATTTTTGTTTCCCATTGTAAATTACTGATACTGGGAAAAAACTATATATTCATGGGGGTATATAGTTTTTTGCTAGTATCAGTAATTTATACACTATTTGCAACATATAAAATTACGTGATTCTTTCACACATTAAGACCAGAATCTTTATAATTTTAATGAGCATATTTAAACTCCTGCCTTTTTGAAATATGGCCGCTGAGCCATTACTACTTTACAGATATATGAGATGAATAAAAGTTCCAAATACAACGAGACTACACCTCTACCAGCTCATCCTTGTAAGAGGTGGGGCTTTCATATGCCAGTGTTCTATGGACTCAATAGAGATTCACTCCACCAGCGTTTGAAACGCAACATATGCCATTGTGGCAATACGTGTGATCCAATCAGACGCGCAATTAGCTTATCCGAAATAACAAAGATGGAACACTGCTGCGTCACATCTGGCGCGACGTGTGGTCTACAGTATTACACCACCTGACGATTTATGTACGTATATTTCTGGCACATTTAATTCTGGGCGCGGTATGTGCCATTTATTCTAGAATTTGTTCATTCACGAGGTTTGGGAATCCTTGCACTGTGTACTGCAGCCCACAAAAACACACTTATTAAGCTATAGTGAGCGACTAATACCCCTGTTGTTCATAAAGTTCCCCAAGATGCCTGATTCTCAATGATAACTTTGGAGTGCGTTGGATTATATCTTTATGAAATACTGAAAAATGACAGATGCGCTTTAAATAGCTTTGGAAATAGTGTAATAATGCTTCTAGACATATATTAGTTAAGGTGCTTTTTATTTTATGATATGGCTCTGCAGTCATAATATAGATAAACTTAATAAAAAAACGTAAACTTTGACAGAGAAATGTTATGACGAGTACAGTGCTGCTTAAATTTCATTGTAGTCAGACATGATGTAATGTAACAAAATATTCTTATGTCTTTGTACAGATTCTGACATTCCAGTTGTCTCCAGGCTTGTCAAGCTGAAATCAAGATGTCTGTACTGCAGGATAGAGACAAACAGGAACAGTCATGACAATGACAGAGCTAAGGTCCATGTTTCAAAGCCTCTGTATTTTTATCGTCATTATTTGCTTTTTATAGATAATTTCACAGTGCTGTTCAATGAGCAGACATAATTAAAGAATGCAGTGTTAAAACATACTTGAAAACAAGAGAAATATCCTTCCTGGTAAAATATTATATACATAAATATGAATAAGATCAAAAGGATAGGGGTGCAAGGGATAAGGGGTAAATAAATTTAGTGAATGTTGTTCATCTGGGTCTACCTATATGTTGTATGCCAAAACTGCCCATATGTGGTATTCCTCACCTTTAGTCCCCAGCACACCAGTCATGCCACGACCTCAGCTCCTCCTCTAGCTGAGATCATCATTACAGATTATCTCAGCCAATGTATCTGTATGGGAAGCGTTCGGCACCTTAATGCTGAAGGTGAAGACGCCAGCATTAACCCCTTCCCGACCGCGGACGTACTAGGTACGTCCGACAAAAATGGTCCTTAAAGACCTCGGACATGTCTTGTACGTCCGCGGTATTCCTTACTTACCCCATCTCCGCCGTTCCCCCGCCGGCGATCAGTTTTCCTCTCCATCTGGGGGGGGGGCTGTCTGACAGACAGGCCCCCTTTGGAAAATTAGGACCCCACCGGAGGCATTAGATGTCCGTAGGCAGTCCCCCTGCTGGTGAAAAAGTAAAAATGTTGATAAAAAAAAAAATATATATATATATTGTGGGGATATTTATGGGATAATAATAGTAACAGTGAGAATTGCCCACTAATTCAATTCTCAGATCCCAAAGAACGTTTATCGTGTTAAGTGGAATGTATTTCATATGATTAATATCACAATGTATAAAAATATGATAACCAATAATTAACAAATAATATTATGTAACATGCGTGACAATAATCAATGAATATCCAGTATAAAATGATATGCAATACAAAGAAATGGGTATTACGTTTCAATGGCTAACTAGCATTTTCTGTCAAGACTTCTACGATTTATGAGGTATCCTTACACAGATTGAAAGTGAAACTTTTCACAGGGAAGAACAGAATTCCTCAGAGTGCAGCGTAAGGTCGTAAAGTTTAGCAGACAGTTAGAATAACCCTTTCAATGCTGGCTAGATCTCCTAGGTAGTTAAGATCTATTCTGATGTCATTTTAAATAAAATAACATTTAATCCAGTTTAAATTCAATTTCTTAAACCATCCAATAAGAGAATCTAACATTATATAAGCAGATTTTTAATTTGTCTAAAAGATATCTATCTTAATTTAGAGCAAATCAATACACCTGGATAAAAACAGCGGTATGCTAACACGTGATAATATCACATCAATATATAATTATTCTTAATTCCACCTGCAGAATGGAATGTTTATAACTATATATTCTTAGTTAACTAAGATTTCTTAATATGGAAATCTGACCGTGCTTTATCCAGTCATATATAATGCTATTAATACATTTAATTAATTTAATTTAATTAAATGAAACCAGTATAATTACCAGTTGAGTAGATATTTCATCCGATTGGTAGTCTCTCTGCATGGAGGTGTTGGTTAGAAAGTCAGTAAATTCTAAGTGTTAGAGTTTTAGGAGTAGAGTGTTAGTCTCAGATGTTGTCCGAGTTGGAATCCCCAAACTTCCAATTCCTCTCTCCTCTCCTTTGCATCTCTTGCATCTGCCTCCTCTCGTATTTTTCTATCTTCCCTTTGTCTTAACTTTTAAAGGGCCAGACTCTCTGTACGTCATCAGTTGATAACCCAATAGAAGCACTAGAGGTGTGGTTATCTTCCAGATCGCAATTTAGGTATTTAGTCTCTAGAGGGCAGTCTTGTCCCACTAAACATACCTATCCAGGAAAGAGTTAACTTTTCCTGGTGGCTATTTTGACGTCATTTTGGCCTATCTAGATAGTGGCTATAACTTACGTATCCTTCAAAGATCAAAGGGGTTCTTAAATTTTGTTCAGACTATGTGTCTGCAAATCTGCTATAATTTCTGATATGACAGATCATGAACTAAGTTTACCCTTTTCCATACAATGGTACCTTATATATATAGACAGTTAAATATTATTATTTAATCTTCTCTGTCACAATCGTCTGGGTTTAGATTTGATTATATTCTTCTTATCACTTGTTTATACTATGCTATGCATTCCTTAGCTCTGGCAAAGAGGCCAGTCTTACAGAAAGAAATCTAGTGTCTTCTTTGTTAACTTGAAATAACAAAATGGAGTCTGGTCTGTTCAGAGTGACTCAGAATATACACTTTTAGTTTCTATCATAGCACAAAATGTCTGCCGATATAAATACTCTGACATAACCCCCCTTTAGTGCATTTCATAGCCAAAATTAATTTAGCTTATGAATAAGCACTATAGAAGTTACCAGACATATTGTGCAATCACATCATTTCTAACATAGGCCCGTGCGTGGAATGAACATTTCTGTATATATTTGTACCTGTAAAAGTTTTAAACTTTACACTTAGTACAACCAACCATAATATCATTATTACATAGTACATTGTTTTCATTTGAAAAATGTCTTTGGGAGTTACATATGGTATGGTCAATAAAAAGCAAATCTCCATACGTTCCGGATCAATTAAGAGAGGTATTGCGCTCCCCATCTCAAAGGCCAGATTTAATTGCATAGGCTCAATTGTTTCTCCATCCACATTGGCAAGCATCGCATGAACAATATCCTTGGATACAAAATACAGAGGTATGCGTCCCCCTGCCAATTCGATCATTCCAGTTTGCACTTCGTCGAGAAAAGCAAGTGTGTGGAACAATATTGGGTTATGCAGAAATAGAAGTTCACGCTTAAATAAGTCATGACTTTGGTGCAACTCAGTGGATTTGGCAATTAACTCAGAATGCAAATTTGTTGTAACAACTGTGTCTTCCACAATAGTTAACACGTCTTGGAGAAGTGTTCTTTGCTGGTTTATCACCTGATGAATATCGTTAATGTGTTGCTTTAGCGCATAGATTTCCATATCCAGCTTTTGGACAGTAATAGAGTTGGCTGCAGACATTCCAGTTGCGACAACTGCACCGACAGTGGCACAAACTAATGCAACAATTATAGCGGTGAGGAACCTTTTGGGTCGGTTGCTCATCGGAATAGAACTGGATACAAATGGTTTCCGGGCTTGCTCCAAGATGTTTCGCACACGGTCCTGTGCTCTTTGGAGGTGCATCTGGTACCAAGTCTGTAACTCAGGAAGCTGCATCGATGAAATGTTGTATGCCTTCTCGATGGAAATCTTGGGGTCCAAGCTGACGAACACACGTCGGGTCAGGATCCTCTTCTCGGTCAAGATGAACCCTGGTGTCTCTTGAATCAGGATGCCGGAGGATGGTCCCATCTCTGCGATCGGGTCGGTCCGTAGCTCTTGGCACAGGAGCAGTACGATCCAGAAACACGCCACATCCTTCTTGGACATCTTTCGACAGTCACGGATCAGGAACTCATTTCAGACTTATCTACTAATGATTCAAGGTTTGTTAAGCATACAAACTTATAACAGTGTGACATCACTTGGCCTAGGACAACACATTATTACGATTCATCAACATATGTATTCTGTCTAATTCTATTTTTATAACTTCATCCCTCACTACATTTATTACTGACTCTTCAGCAATTTGCCTATAGCATTTAAACAAGCTAGTAACCTGCTTATAAAATGTAGTTATTGGATGGCAAGGAAATGGTTAATGACATGAACGTACATGAGATCATGGCACATCACAACATTTCACATCATACTATACCACGTGAATCAAGCATTCATCCAGGTTAGTCGTTCACCCTTCTGCATCCGAATCCACACCTATAATCCTTAATTGAGATTTAGGATGACAAGCACGCAACTGGTTAATGTGAACCCACTTTTCAATAAAATCACCATCCTTAGGAATTTTTATCTTATACGCTACTGGGGAAATTTTGTCAATGATGACATATGGCCCTTTCCAAGAAGGTAAAAATTTCTTTTCCTTGACTTGATTTCGCGCAAAGTTATACAGATAGACTTGATCTGTTATCTCATATTCCTTTTTCGTGGTTTTTAAATCGTAATAGGTCTTAACCCCTGTCGCTGCTTTTTCTAGATTCTTTTGGGCAAAAGCAAACGCATGCTGTAAATGCTTGCGCAAATCTTCGATATACTGATGCGTAGTGGCAGCATTGATCAAGTTATGATCCGAAGTACGATATAGTAAATGCTGTGGTAAAACCATCTTTCTTCCTGTCATCAATTCAAAAGGTGACAATTTGGTAGCAGTGCTAGGTGTAGCTCTAATCGCCATTAAAACTAGGGGCAATTTAATGTCCCAGTCTTTACCAGACTCCTTAACATACTTCTTCAGAATATTAACGATAGACTGGTTATATCGCTCTACCCCCCCGCTAGACGCAGCGCGGTATGCAATATGTAGCTTTCGTTTAACACCTAGAATGTTCCACATCTTAGCCATTACTTCGCTGGTAAAGTGACTACCTCTGTCTGACTCAATTCTTTGAGGCAGACCGAACCTGGAAAAGACATGGTTAATCAACAAAGTGGCGCACACGGTACTCGTGTTCTCTTTACAAGGCAAACATTCTATCCACTTTGTGTACATACATGTAACGGTTAACATGTATTTGTTACCTCTTGAAGATCTTGTTACAGGACCTATAAAGTCAATTTGAATATCAGACCAGGGTAATGACACCCCCCTCTTCTGAAGTGGTGCACGATGGGTTGGACCATGGGGTTGATATTGCGGACAAATCAAGCATCCCTGACAGTATGTCTTAACATCCCTTAACATGTGTGGCCAATATGCATAATCACGCAATATCTCATATGTGATCTTATCACCACGATGCCCAGATGTAGGTGCATCATGTGCGTGTTGGAGCATTAACCCTCTGTATACAGTTGGGACTACCCATTGTTGTATACCATGTTTAGAAGTTCTGACCAGTAACCCATCCATGATACTAAATTGGACTCTATATCTCATCAAGATTCGTAAATCTTCATTATCTTTGCAATCCTCATCTGTGATGGGATTGGCAATAGGGTCTTCTATATGTCTATAGAAAATGCCTATGACGGGATCACTCTTTTGACTAGTAATCAGGTCCTCACAAGGAGCTTCTTGACTCCATTGCACGACATTTAAGTCGGCATTATCTCTAGCCTGTCGTCTAGTTATGGCTTCAACATGAATTGAACCCATAAGATCATCAATGTTTAGGGTTTCACCATTGATGGCAGCTTGTTTTGCCAGTGAATCGGCTAAGTCATTACCATCCTTGTCAATACCTTCTATTTTAGAATGGCCTTTGGTTTTCTTCCAATATATGGTTAAACCATTTTCCTTAACCAGTTCATCGATTTTACAAAACAATTTCCCATGTTTAACAGGTTTGTTATTGCTTTTCAGCATTTGGTTACGTTTCCAGCTAGGCAGATATTCGACGAAACTGTTGCGAACATAGTTGGAATCAGTTATAATAACAAATTCTTTGATACCATATTCTATTGCCATTTGAATGGTCTTATATACTGCACAGAGTTCGGCTATCTGACTGCTTTTGGGACCAATATTGTATCCTATAGATACATTAGGATAATCACCTGTCCAGGCGATTCCGATACCTGCAACTAACTTCCGTTCAGTACCAACTACGTGGTGATATGAACAACCATCAATGTATACCCACGGTAGTGGTCGACAGTATTCCTCGTCATAAACTTTATAAGGAGATAGCAATTGCTCTTCTAGGAAGTCATCTCCGGTGTCATTATCATCCAGAGATGGAGCAGTACAGTCATGTAATTCTGCTAAACCTTGGGCAACTGGGCTTCTCTTATTATGTTTATAACGGACTTCTAACGGCCATCCCTGTAAGGATAGAGTCCATGCAGTAATTCGACTGTTAGAGAGATTACCGTCTCTAATTCTTTCACTCTGCAGATACTGTAGAGGTTGGTGAGCTGTTTCTACAATTATTTTCTCACCTTGGATATAGCTACGAAAATTTTGTAGTGCCCAGACAGTCGACAATAACGCCTTCTCACACGTGTTGAATTTAACTTCAACAGGTGATAAAGTCTTGCTAGCATATGCAATAACCTTGTTTAAACTGTCCTGCTTCTGATACAAAACAGCACTTATGCTGAAATCTGTATGTCCTGTCTCCAGATAGAAGGGTTTACCCCCCTCTGGGTATGCTAAACAGGGTGCCTGAGTGAGCTTCCTCCTCAGTTCACTTACCGCTTGGTCCTGAGGCTCCCCCCAGTTCCAGGTAGTTTCCTTTTTAAGCAGGTGTAAGAGTGGCTTTGTTATTTCTGCATAGTTATCTATAAACTTACGGGGGTAGTTAGTCATACCAAGGAACGATCTTAATTCCCTGATGTTTGAAGGTGTTTTAGCCTTTAGTAGGCTTCAACCTTCTTCCTCTGTCCAAGGAAATTGACATGGGTGCGACACCATTGTGCCTTTTGTAAAGACAGTTTAATCCCTGCCTCTCTTAACTGAGTGAGAACATGTCTAATCTCTAAGATATGCTTATCAAAGGAGGTGCTTTTCAGCAAGACATCGTCGACATATGATAACGTTCCTCTCTCGAGTGCATCAGGCATAGCTTTATGCATGAACACAGCGAATTCATGACCAGAGTTTATATAACCGAAAGGCATACGGGTCCAGGTATACTGCTGCTTTCCAAATGTGAAGGCCAATTTGTATTGGTCTTCATTATGGACTGGTACAGTCCAATATCCCTGCGCACAGTCAATGGCAGTGAATATTTTGGATCCCTGCATTTGTACCAAACATTGGTCTATGTATGGCGTTGGCCAACCAGACATATAGACGCGTTTATTTAGCTGTCGTAAGTCAGCGCATAAACGCCATTGTCCATTAGGTTTCAGAATCCCCAAGATCGGATTATTATACGAACTGTGCACTGGACGTATAATGCCCCTTTCCTTTAAATTCTGAATGATGTCTTGTAGACCATCATATGACGCTAATGGGAGTCTATATTGTTTGATAAATACAGGTGGTAAATTTGGATCAGTTTGTATTCTGGCTACGTGGAGGTTAGTTAACCCACAGTCGTAGGAATCTTTGGCAAAAATATCTTGGAATTCCAAAAGGATTTCCTTTAGCTGTTGTCGCTCAGCATCGTTGGAGCAACCGTCAGCTAAAGATATTTGCTCTTCTAGCCTTTCCTGAAATCCTGGAAAGATTTCAGGCTGGCCTATCTCATAAGCTTCTTCAAGCCTAGAAGTTAGGTCAGTTCGGTGTTGACTTACCTTTTCTCTTTGGTCGAGATACTCTTGTGATTCCTGCTCATTGAGCGGATGATCGAAGGTGATTGATGCTTCTTCGATTTTACACGAGCCTTCTTCAACGTTGAAGGGATATACAGATAGGATAGTGAATAATCCTTCTGGGGAGGAATGGAATATTTGATCGACAATTTCGTCCTCAGTTAAGTATTCTTCAGGGATGAGGCCTATAATTTGGTTTTGGAAACCAAATGTATAGTACTCAGCATCCAATGCTAGACCTAATAATGTTCCTTTTGGTAAAGTAACACTATTGGGTGTAACATTGTTGACCCTGATATAGGCGGGATTCTTACCAATACTTACCATTGGTGTATGTGTTACCACCATCCCTAATTGTGGTATCCTGTTGGATAAACAGATTAGGGCATCAGAGTTTTCCAATCTCTGACCCTCCTTGACCTGTAGGGGTAAAAGAAAATTACTTGTCCCCTGTGGGATGGTTATGTCATCAGGTACTTGGATACTTACCGCATATGGGAGTATTTGTCCTGATTTCAAGGCGTTTTCCTCGTGAAGGTATCCACAAGGATTACCTTTTAACCTTGTCCACAAGTTGGAATTAATCAGGTCAAGGTGTATGGCAAAGCGATGTATGACATCATTGCCAACGTAAACCTGATAGCGAGGTTCGTCTATCACTAGGAATAAATGTTTAACTGTCTTATTTCCGATGGAAATAGATAGTAAACACTTTGCTATCACATTGTGACTCTCTGATTCGCCATCCAGGTTCTGGATCCACCTGTCATGTGGGGAAGCGTACCTGATCATTTTAGGATTAGCGATCTGCTTTAACAGACTTCTGCTAATATAGCTGTTCTCACTCTGTAAGTCCAGCTTTGCATTCCTACTTCTTCCTAAGTCATTTATTTGCATAGGAAAGAATAAGTTGTTATTAACCCTTTCAATTCTGGCAAGGAATTGAGCATGACCTGCCAGATCTACAGATTCAACATAGTCCCTGTGGAGAGAAATGGTTAAAACATCACCTTCCAGAGAGACATTCTGGATCCTCTCTGGAGCAATTCTTACGGAATGCTCATCTACAGGTGCGATTGCATCATTCACCTGCAGGATAGTCACGT